CTTTTCGTCGATACAATGTTGTCGGAAAGCCATTTTTGATATGAACTTTGACACGTATGACATTCATGAACGTCAACAAAGAACATCTTAGCATTTGAAGTCGACGATTTGAGCTGCTTCTTTTCTGGTGAATGCATAGGAAATATTCTACATAAGTTACAACCTATACTCAATTAAGTTAGTATCATTGACCAGTAAGAACAAAAGCATAATAGAGAGCAAAAAAATTGCACTCCTAGAAACCGAAAAGTTTTGTTTCTGCAGTCCTTTTTGTACGACAAAATCTTGCAAGGAAATCCAGGTCGTCAAATTAGTTTAAGTAATTCGGCATTCTTGCCCCTACTTCTCTTTTCTTTCTCTTAATTCACGTCGTAATCCATAAATATGTAACGTTTTTACAAATATAACTATAAGACTAAAGTCGTAGTTCACCTACGACTGAAAAACCAGGCCTTAGCGATCAGCTATTCTCTGTTGTCGCTTGACACATTACGACGTATTGAACTAATCCAAAAAATGATGTAGGCATACAGGTACATGATGAAATTTATTCTACTATATATACGTAGTATCTGTCCGCCACTGGTTGTTCAGGGAATCTGCTTCAACCGGTGTCAATTTCCAGATTCCTTCTGGATCCATTGTCCATCGTAGAAAAAAGCCAGTTCATCAAGAAAACATTAAATGCCAGGCCGCATGCTGTGAAACAGGTCCGTGTGTCAAAAGAAACTGAAATTGTAAAATGCCTGGTAAAATGGGTCTTCTCTTTCATCTATTCATCTGCCCAATAGGGCCCGATTCAGCGTAATTTGTATTAATGATGAGAAGACGAGTGCCAAGCGATGACGGTGCTATAGATTTTTTTTTGTAAATTGGCCATTTACTAAGGTTGAAGATAATTGTAAGATCAGTTGATTAATTTCGATTTTAGCTTTCCTAGGATTCCTTTACAACAGGATATCAATGAATCAGAAAATCAATCAGGTCTTATAAAAAAATGTCAGGTGGAGCTGCCGTACGGGGATACAGGTCTCTAAATGGCGACACAATTTTGGAACGATACTCTTTAGTTCAGCGAAATTTCGACAACATAATATTAAGATGACAGTCTCCATAGAAACCAATTAATTAACCGAGCTTACCATGGGTAGACTAGATCTATCAAAAAATTACTGTCTCACTTCCCACGCCTACTGGATTGTACATGAAATGTACATCACGAAAAACGATGTAACTCATTTTGGTCGATCTGTCTGTCTGTCGACCTGTCCGCTAATCTATAATTTGAGAAGTACCGCTCGGATTTAGATAAAATTTTACTTTTTCTAAAAGGGAGTTTGTGCTGAACATATTTTTTTTATATACGTACTGTTAGGGGCCTGGGGTCTAAATACTCATGGGTACCGCTGGGCTATAGGGGGATACAGGGGAAAGGGGGAACGCCATACATTTCCGCCTTAGAAATACGCCGGGTGGTACCTCCGCGTTCGGCAGCCAAAGACCGTATACCGCCTACGGATAATCACAACATCCATAGCCAAGAGAAAAACTCCTTTGGGATGGGATTCGAACCCGCGCAGCGCACGGCGGCTGATTAGTAGGCTCATCTACCACTACGTCACTGCTGCTGCCTTCTTACTATTGAATGATGTTTTTTTGACAGCCTGATCCTTCAGCAGAAGAAAATGCCTAAAAATCCACAAATACCGATAAGTTATTATTATAAAATCTGCAATATGGCTTCTGTTCCACAGAATCGGAATGTACATATTCTGTGGACGCCAGCAGGTGAGACATTTGTGTGTCTAATCCGCACCCTCACGTTCACTGCAACGTGGCAGGGATAGCGATCTGATCGCCACAGTAATCATTTTGAAATCAGATATACACTTCATGTTCACTTGTAGCCGCTGTGTGTGTTGCATAAACGTCAAGATACTTGAGCGAGTACGCGTGGCGTGAGATAGCGACTAGCTAATACACAAGTGACAAGTGTGGCGATCACATACGCAAATTTTTATTATACTGTGAACATTCCTACCCACCGTTATCTGATTGTAAGGGTATTTTGAGGTGTTTAGAATTTCTTATACAGTTTGGACAGATGTTAGAAAATTGGGAAGTAGAAGTTATTCTAATTGCTTCCAGACAATTTACCCACAGTGCCAAATTTGATTCCAATTTGGAACATAATGCAACACTTGTGTTGTTTTTCCTGTTTGCGTGTGACCTAAGCTAGTATTTGCATATGGCGGAGTGAAGATCTTGTAAAACACATGTAAAGAGATGCGAATGGCGTCAAACACTTGGCTTATTTATAGCTACTATATTTCGGCATATTACGGTTGCATCTATTACGGCTTGTAACTTGTAAATAAATATGTTCAACTATCATGTCAGGCGACACATGTTGCCATGTTTACTGGACGCACTAAAAGCTTGTTTTGGTTAGAAGTTTAGGTTTATTTTCTTAAGTATTTTTAATCACGTCGATTAAAGGAGACCTGGGCCAGTTGAATGATTCGGTTATTTCCAACAAGGAGTTTCTGATTACCACAGACCGTTAATACAGTCGTCCAAACAAACTAATGGTTAAGGCCCGACGAAAGCTTCGACCTCGGCCACATTCGGTCAAAAAATAGACCTTCAGCTAAGAAAGGCCGAAGGTTTGATAGCAGTTTTGCGAAAATATCGCTTACTGAGAGCGTAAAAAATGCACATAATATTGGTCAACGAGTGTAAGATCAACTGAAATACTTTTCAAAAGGTGCTAAGGAACGTCAGCTCACCATATTTGTATATGCTCTTCGTCCATTATTTTCAGTTCAAACCCCTGAAATATATTTTAGCTACCAATTAGTACGAGTATACATAGTTTGTCAGATGTTTAAATTCGCAGGACAAGCATCCAAGATTATAGAGCTAGTTTACTATGTGGTGTTGGCATGCTACTGTTTCTTGACATCGAAAACCCATGAGTTTATTAGTTTTTGTGTCTAAGTTTTGGAACTTGTAGATGGTAGTCTCAAACATTTCGAACTTGTTTTTAAAGCTTTCATAGCAATTCCGTCTATACCGTTCAAATTTGAACTGATAAAATTAATACATAAATACTATATTTTAGCGTAAAGCAGGTAGTTGAATATTACAAGATGGCGATTATGTGCCATTTTGGAACATTTTTTCAAATGGAATAGGGAGTTGTGTGATAACCTATTTTGAAGCTCTTCATGAGTACTTTACAAGTCTAAAATATAAAATCACCGTCTTTCGACAGGCTGTCCAAGTTGAGCGCTTTTGTATATCATTTTTTTCCTTGTGGGAGGATCTATCCAAATGCGTTATGAAATATGAGACATTCCATTCAAAAAATTGACAGAATCTGTCAATTTTTTTAATCTTAATGTTGCATATTTTACTGGAAATTCAGATGGACCACTCCAGAAGAAGAAGATTGATATAACATACTATAAGGATTTGATGATTGATTGATGAGTTATATTCTATTCAATATTATAATTACCACATTCTGGCTGGCCGCCATCTTGAAATTTTCAAATATGTATTCATGCGTCAGTTTCACCACACTGTATTTTATCTTGCTAACTTGAGTCTTACAAAAAACAACTAGGGGGGCTTCCTGAAAAGCACTGTACATGTTTATTTTGTAAGGGGCCATAAAATATAAAGTATATGGAAAGAAACTTACGTAAAAAACAGGAAAACAAGTCTTTCGCGATTTTCTGCTTAGGTCCATGTTTATTTTTTATTAACTTTCCTCCAACATTTTTTGGATCAACGTGCACCTCAAAAATATTGAAAAATACATGGAAGTATTTTCCCGCTGTAGAAGTGAAATATTGCGTACTTTTTTCAGCATAGCACGGTTATTCTATTTTAAAGCTCTTTAACGAATAAGCAATGTTTTTTGCACTATTTTTTCAAAACTCATCATTTCAGGAAGTCTAAAGTTTACATAAAACGTGTACCTTTTTCACTTTACAATTGGAAAATAAAGAACTATGTAAATTCCCCCAAAATTGCACAAAACAGATAGTTGCCATTTTTTATAGGTAAAATGGGATTTCAATATTATGGCGTCACTCAAATTTTTTGAATAAGAAATATTGACCTAAATGTTATGTTCATCTCAACATTGGGGTTATCTAATCGAATATTTAATTTTTGTACATTATAACAATTTACGGTTTCGAAAACATCACAATCATAAAAGTCTGACATACCACCACGATGATTTTTTGTAAAATGTTCCTCTGACTTAACCGAATTCTCAAACGTATCATTTTCGAGATCATGCTGCAAGGAGTTCAACATAATTTTTTCGGCGCTTTAAAAATTCATCAACAGGCTTTTTCTGCAAGCGTCAATCAATTGTCTATTCTTGAAGAACGGTTACCCCCCTTCAATTAACACCATGGTAAGGGTGGCCCTCTCCTCCGAGACGGACATCTTCTGCCTGAACAAGAATCATGTCTTTTAGAGAAAGTATAGTATCAGAAATAGATTCTATGGTGCATTTTATATGAATTAAATAAATACGGTCATGAGGTCCTATACTAGTAGTAGATATGTTTGATACTGTCGTACTTTTCAACTGCTGTTTTGAAGACTTAAGACTGTGTGTCACAATACGAAATTTTGAGCTGAATTTGGTACGCTAAATTTCGTAAATGTTAAAAACAGTGGCAAAAAGCATTTGGTGCTTAATTTTGTATGAACAAATTTTGTGCATTTAGGCTCTCCAATGAGCGCAAGAGATGCCAATCACCTGATAATCGGGTGTGGATTTGGGATAAGCTATACGTAAAACATCTCTCCGAAACCGCAATTATATTACCCGTCTCTTCCTCTAGATCACTATGTAGTTCACTCTCGCTGCTAGGTGGCGCCACGCATTCCAAAGCTAAATAAAATAACATCTGACCGGTCCTACCCTCGCGTACCGCCGAACGCTGTTGATGATTCATTACTCTTTTGCGTGCGAGTGGAGCCACGTCGCCCGTAACGTGAGGTTCGGAAAATGAGTAGAAATGTGCGAAAACGGGCTCAGGCCCTGTCTGATGCAGATTCGGATTCGTCTGATGAGCTGTCCGGAATCATGACCCAGTTGAACAAGCTGTCTCGTAAGGTATCCCGACTTCAGAAGAAGCGCAAAAGACGAAAGCCGTCACCCGAAAGCTCGGATAGTAGTGTTGGTGAAAGAAGCTTCTCCCAAATCATTCGGCCTGCTACCGTAGGCCTGGTAAACTACGATACCTCTTCATCGGGACGTAAGTATCCTATGGATGCATAATATAATTGTGTATAAAACAAAAACAATATGGCTACCAACGAGTTTTGGTTACACACGTCTGTCTAAGCAAGGGTACCCTTGTTATACCCAAATTGGGTATTACCGACGAGTTTCGGTATAATCCTGTGGTCAACGAGTTTTGACAAACACACGATTATTTTATTACATTGCCAACGAGTTTTGGAAATGTAGGGCATCACAATTCTCCTATCTTGTCAACGAGTTTTGACAAATTCAAGTTTGTTTTTTTTACAATGCCAACGAGTTTTGGCCACATGTAAGGTAGTTTATGATGTCGTCAACGAGTTTTGATAAGCGCAAGACCAACGAGTTTTGGCAAATAAATACAAGGCGTCGCCTTTATTTTCATATATTGTCAACGAGTCTTGGCGATTTCTAAAGGCAGGTACAGTTGTATCATAATTTCTTCCATTTTTGCAGCAGAGAATAACCTTGCCGAGCGCAATGTTGCCATATCAGACGGAACCTTGGAGAGGAACATTGTTGCCGAGTGCGATGTTGCCGAACGCAGTGTTGCCGAACGCAGTGTTGCCGAACGCAGTGTTGCTGAATGCAGTGTTGCCGAACGCAGTGTTGCCATCTCGGATGAAATTTTGAGACTTTTGGGGAAAAACTCTGTGGACGATCAAGCCTCTACAAAAGACATTAACAGCGAACTTGTTCAAATTTGGTCCCATATATTACAGGAAGGTTTGGATTCTGAGGTTTTAGCAACTATATGTAAAAAATATTCTCCTCCCACTAACTTGAGCCTTGCTAATGCCCCCAAACTGAACTCAGAGGTTTTATCGGTTCTCACGGAACAACACAAGCAGCGGGACTTGAAGCTCTCTAAGCGCCAAGACCAGATGGGGGCTGCCCTGGTGGCAATTGGCAAAGCGCTGACAATTCTGTTGGAAAAAGGGGAGGGGGCACATACCAGAGTGCTGGTCGAATGCCTCAGTGATGCCGGACGTTTAATTTCGGACATTCACCATGAAGAATCTACGTGTAGGCGGAATTTGGTATCGGTGAGTGTAGACAAACAGCTCCGAGGAACCCTTTCTAACGTATCTGTGGATGGTTGGCTGTTTGGACAAAATCTAGGTGATCGGGTGAAGGCAGCTCGTGAAATGGAAAAATTGTCATCCAACCTGAAGCCTAAAGCAGTTACTGCTACACTGACGTCTTCGGTAAACTTCAAGGGTCTGCCTCGAGTGAATGTCAAGGGTTATCGAGGCAGACCGAAATACTCACGGAAAACCCCGAGTTTCGAAGCCAAGACTCCTCGGAAAGCCCCCCGATCAACGAAAGAAATTCGTCCAGCATACAGAACCAACCAAACCCAAGCCTATCAAAAGCGGACCCTTTAAAGGTAATTTATATAAGTGGAAGACTAAAATTCTTTTTACCAGCTTGGAATTCGTTAACGTCGGATAATCTTCTGTTATCATGGGTTAAAGGTTATCTAATACCTTTTTCTCAGATACCTGTTCAGAAATCTGTTCCTAAGGAATTGAAATGGTCTTCAACAGAACAGAGATTTTTAAATTTAGAAATCGAGCGTTTGTTATCCCTGGGCGCTATAAGAAAATGTTCTTTCGAGCACGGCCAATTTCTTTCAAATATTTTTCTCACACCCAAACAGGATGGCTCGTTTAGATTGATTTTAAATCTAAAAGACCTGAACAAGTTTATTACGACAGAACATTTCAAAATGGAGGACCATAAAACGGTAACAAGATTATTGGACAAAAACATGTTTCTTGCATCCACAGATCTCAAAGATGCGTATCACTTGATTTCTATTCATAAACATCATCGGAAATATGTCAGGTTTGTGTTTTCCGGACAAATGTATGAATATACTTGTTTACCTTTCGGTCTAAATACAGCGCCGTATGTGTTTACGAAACTGTTGAAACCAGTTCTATCCCATTTACGACAACAAGGTTTTTTGTCAGTATTATATATTGATGATTTTCTATTAATGGGTCGTAGTTATGCTGAGTGTGTGACAAATGTTAACATAACTAAGAAAGTGTTGTTAGATTTAGGTTTTTTGATTAATTTAGAGAAAAGTGTACTTGTGCCATGCACAGAAATTAGGTATTTGGGGTTTCTATATAATACAATAGATATGTCCTTAAGCCTACCTATAGACAAACAAAACAGTATTTCAGAACATATGCGCAGGTTCGTGAATAAAACAACCTTCCCTATCCGGGAGTTTGCGAAATTGATTGGTAAATTGATTGCAGCATGTCCGGCAATCAAGTATGGGTGGCTGTACACCAAGAATTGTGAACGCGAAAAATTTTTGGCCTTGAGAAGGTCCAGAGGGTTTTACAATCACAAGATGAGAATGTCTACAGAGATTCTAATGGATCTTAGCTGGTGGAAAAGTCATCTTTCGGGAAAAAATACTTTTCACAGTTTCAACTTCAAATTGGAAATATTCAGTGACAGTTCTCGATCGGGATGGGGGATACACTGTAATGGTTGTAAGTCGCACGGTTTTTGGTCCAACGAAGATAAGAAGCAACATATAAACTATTTAGAGTTATTTGCTGCATTCTTTGGACTTAAATGCTTTGCAGCAGATCTTGTAAATTGCGAAATACTTTTACGAATAGATAACACTACAGCCATTTCATATGTGAACAGAATGGGTGGTATTCAGTTCCCACATCTTAACAGCCTTGCTAAGCAAATTTGGCAGTGGTGTGAAGAGCGCAATTTATTTATTTTCGCGTCTTATATAAAATCGCAAGATAACATTATAGCCGATCAGGAATCGCGTCAATTAAATACTGAAACAGAGTTTTCAATAGCGGATTATGCGTTTAAACAAATTTGTCGTGACTTAGGAACACCCGAGATCGATTTATTTGCTTCCAGAGTAAATTCAAAATGTAAGCGATTTGCTTCTTGGTTCAAAGACCCTGAAGCCGAAATTGTCGACGCGTTTACAACTTGCTGGACTAATTACAAATTTTATGCATTCCCGCCTTTTTCCCTAGTGGCTAAAGTGCTACAGAAAATAATTACAGACAAAACGGAGGGTATTGTCGTAGTACCGTGTTGGCCCAGTCAACCATGGTACCCTCTATTCAAATCACTGCTTGTAAAGAAATCAATAGTTTTCTCTCCTAACATAAATTTATTGTTATCCATTGACAGAACACCCCATGCGCTACACCGGAAACTTTCCCTGGAAGCAGGGCTATTATCAGGCAGGCAATGATAAATAATGGAATCCCTGAGGAGGCAGTGGAAATATCAGTTTCATCTTTAGCACAGTCGTCACTGAAGCAATACACCAACGGATTGAAACTATGGTGGGAATTCTGTCACCAACGTAACATAAACTGTTTTGAACTAAATAGCCAGGCTATACTATGTTTCTTGTCGCGCTTGTATGGCCAAGGCCGATCATATAGTTCGTTGAATACAACAAGATCGGCTTTATCCTTGCTTATTTCACCTCGAGTTGGCGAAGACCACCAGATCAAAAGATTTTTCAAAGGCGTTTTCAAATTGCGACCACCTTTGCCTAAATATCATATAACGTGGGATCCGGCTGTGGCTTTAGGTTATCTGGAAACATGTTACCCTAATAATACAATTACTCTAGAGGCGTTGACACATAAATTATCGATGTTGATGGCCCTGGTTACGGCACACAGAGTACAAACGTTTTCAGTTATAGAGGTACCAAATATCGAAATATCGGAATCAAAAATAGAAATAAAAGTCCCGGCAAGGGTTAAAACCTCTGCCCCAAATAGATACCAACCTTTACTGATACTGCCATTTTTTCACAATAACCCAAAACTATGTGTAGCAAGTACGCTCAAATGTTATTTGAACAGAACCAGAGATTTCAGGCAGTCTGGTAAGCTCTCGAATCTTTTTCTGACTCATAAGAAACCTTATAAGGAAGCAACGGCACAGTCCATTAGTCGTTGGATTCGCATAGTGCTGGACAAAAGTGGAATTGACACATCGATCTTTACAGCACATAGTACTAGACACGCGTCCACGTCAGCAGCTGTCAACAGGGGTATCAACATCGATACAATACGCAATACAGCAGGTTGGACTTCGTCATCAAATGTGTTTGCAAGATTTTATAACAGACCTGTAAAAAATACTGACAATTTTGCAGACGCAATTCTCAGACTATAGTGAATAGTTTACAGTTGTAACAGTTAGAATAAGTTCTCGCACATGGATGGTTGTCTCTCATAAGAATGTTGGAGATTAAAGAGAGTAGTTACTACTTCCCTCTTTCTTTTATTCTCCTGTAACTGTTGCAGAATCAACTTTAAACATCTACATAGTGATCTAGAGGAAGAGACGGGTAATATAATTATAAGATTAAACGAACTTACCTAAGTGAAGTTTGATCGTAATTATATGACCGTCTCTTCCGAATAGATCACTCCCTCCCTCCCAGAACCCGTGATCTATTCTAACGCAACAGTTACTGCTTTGAAATAATGAATCATCAACAGCGTTCGGTGGTACGCGAGGGTAGGACCGGTCAGATGTTATTTTATTTAGCTTTGGAATGCGTGGCGCCACCTAGCGGCGAGAGTGAACTACATAGTGATCTATTCGGAAGAGACGGTCATATAATTACGATCAAACTTCACTTAGGTAAGTTCGTTTAATCTTATAATTATGGTTATAATAGGTGCTTGACATTGTAACAAATGACAGTTTGAAGTTGACAGACACATGTATAGTTCTTTTTTACCCAAATGCGCAGGATTATAATCCTTAAAAATTGATAAATAAATTCAGTAACACATTTTTCCGCAAACAATATTGTTATAGAATTATATATAAAATTTTGTATGCAAAGTAGTCTTCCCAACGTTATAGGCAAACTAAAACATTATGAGATTGATTGAGCCAACGAATTCAATTAGATTAGATTATATTGCATTGTTCGCAAAAATTACGTGGTTCTATTGCATTCCCTTGACTCATTCATCTACCAATCGCTACCAAAGCGTCAACGCTACATCAACATTACCATACCGTTGGAAACATCTACCTTCATTAAGCTTGTATCGCTCTTTGCAAATTACGCAAGAAGTACCATGTCTTGGAATCGTTTAACACCATAATTTTCTGAAAACACTCACACTTTTACAAAATAACACTAATTATATGAAATAAATGACAGCTGTAAAAAAATTGACTTATGTCAAGTGCATTTTGACCCTTATAACAGACTTCAATTCGTCATTATTCGTCAGATCGGTCCGGTGGACCTTTGCTCTTAGTTAAAAGTCTCGTCGGTCTGTTAGTCTGACAGGTCTGGCGACCCAGATACCAAACATGTTTAAGGAGAAAAGGGAAAGAAGGAAGGAAAGGAAGGAAGAAATAGAGTAAAGAAAAGAAGTAAATCATTTGAAATAGCTTAAGCATTATTGCTTTGACTAGTACTCGAATTATTTTGTAACTCCAAAAAATAATTTTGATCGGCTTTGTATACTGAAATAATTTTGGCTGGTCTGAATTTACAATTTAATTTTGATCACAGTGCGAGGCGCGGCCTGGAATGTTTGCGAACTTGCTCGACTGTGTAGTCTACTGAATCACGCAACAGAGGGTTACTGTGCGATTCGGCTTGATTATAACGCCGCTGCGCCTGTCGTTTTACGTAATCCCTTAGATATGGGATATCAAGATCTCTGTGAATGGTCTCATTTGACACGTACCAAGGGGCGTTAGTAATTGTGCGTAGGGTTCTGTTTTGCAGGACTTGCAGTCTCTGCATGTGCGTCTTGGCAAGAAAACACCACGCCGCGCATGCGTAGGTGATTGCGGATCTTATGACCATTTTATACAACCGAATCTTGTTGATCAAACTTAATTTTGAACTTCTGCACAACAAAGGATAAAGCTGCCGAAAGGTAATTTGGAATTTTGTTGTCAAAATATCAGTATGTTTCTGCCAGGTCATCCCCTTGTCAATGATGACTCCAAGATACCTGACAGATTGCTCCCATGGTATACGAGTTCCATTCACTGATATCTCTGAGGGGGCACCGCGACCTTTTTAGTACAATAGATTGCCTGCGTTTTCGAAGTATTAAATTTGATCAACCACCGATCCGCCCACTCCAATACTTCCTCCACCGCACTCTGCAGCTTATCGTGAACCAGGTTACCAGAACAAGACTGGGCTAGCAATGAAGTGTCGTCAGCATAGAGATAGTCTTCACAGTTTGGTCCTAAAACCGAACCCTGAGGAACACCGGCTCTTACGGGCCGTTTTGTTGACAACACATTGTTAATTTTGATCCTTTTTTTTTTATTCCTTCTAGAAAAGATTTCAACAGTTTTAGTAGCC